CCAGTGGCGCCCGCCGCATCTTCACCCGAGTCCGCGCCGCGACACTTACCGTGGGCGAGCAGCGCCGAGAGGCAGAGCAGGGCGGCGCCGCCGCGGCCCGACATCCCTGGGGCCATGGCCGAGGCGCGGACGGGAGGGGTCCGAAAGGGCAGCTGTCCACGACGACTTGGCCCCAGGCTGGGCTTGGTCACATCCAACTCAGGGCGGCCGTGGCGCCTGGCTGTCTCTGCTGAGGCTTCGGGGGCCTGGGAGTGCAATTCGGGGACACTTTGCGGGGAGGGGGCGTCCCAGACGCCACCGGCTACACCCTTGGAGCCGGTGGGGGCGCAGCTCAGGGCGGGAGAAGCCTCCACCTCCCCCGGCTGGTGCCCCCTGCAGGATCTGTGAGGCGAGGGGGGAGCCGCACGTGCGGTCCGGGCTGGGTGGCCACGGGCGTCCCGGGGGCTGCCTAGAGTCGAGTGCCGGATCCCCCAGCCCCACGGCCCAGCTCGAATCCGAACTCGCTCGGGGTTGCAGATTTCCAACGCAAGCCCCAATTTCCTCGGTTTCGGTAGTAACCCCACATGGATAGGCGCCGCTGTCTTCTTCCAAGCGCCCTGCAGCAGCCCAGCATAAAAATCCCCAGGTTAGGTGCAAATAAATGATTTCTTTCGCAAAGAAAGAGAAAATCCAGGCAACTTTAATCCATCTGGAGAAGGAAAAGTTTCCGCGCAGTGCTGAGATCGGTGACACGGGTCGCCACCACCCTAGGCGACGCCCAGACCAAATGCCCAAGGAGGGCGGCCAGATATTTGTCCCCTCGTAGGGCTGGCTCCTTGGCTCCAGCCCGCTTTCTCCGGTCTCGCCCAGGAGGGCCCGGGCTTAACACAGGCCGGCTCAGCGCCGCCTGCCCGGGCAGAAGCTCGGAGGCTGGGGCGAGGCAGGCGGGGCCAGAACGGGCTGCCCCATGGAGATGGGGCTCGGAGAAGCGAGGAAGCGGGAAAGCCAGCTAATGCACCCTGACCCGAG